ATGTGTCCCCAGCAGGTGAGAGCCCCCAGGTTCTTGCTTTCATGACCTTTCTGCCTTCCCTTGGCTCTTTTGCAGGGACACCTGACTCCCATGATACTTCTTCTTGTTAAGGCAAAAGCAAAAAAGATAGAACTGGGCGATGACTGAAAATAGCCAACCCACTTGAGAGTGATAAAAGCATCTGTTGAAAATCTGGTAACCAGATCTCCTTGGTACCAGAAAAAAAAAACACACACACACAAAAAAACTGGTGGGTGGTGTACACGGTACAAAGAAAGGGAGTCCCTGAGTGTCAGCATCTGGCGGGGCCACGTGTAGCATAATCTGATTAGTTTTCAGTTCCACACCCACAAGCTGAAAGATAAAAACACACACCCCTCCTCCCCGAGGAGGTAAAAATCTTCAAGCATCAACACCACATTTACATTCTGCAAGTCAGCCTCTTCCACGGCCCAATTTACATCTTGACTTCTCCAGTGGAGCGGTGGAAGCTCAGTGATGAGAGACAAGCTCACGTCCCTTTCCAGTTACCACATCCAGCAGACTCAAGATTGCCTTGCTTTGATCTGGAAGACATTCCTTCGTTCAGTTTAAACTCAAATGATTAAGCTGGAGATGAAGCCTCCTCACATCTTCTGCCATGCCTGCGATGTGATAATTGAGCGTTAGTGTCTACGGGCCATTTTAGCATGTTCTGCGGCCATCCTGGACTGGCGAGCTGAAGCGGCCGCGCAGGCACGGTCGGGCCGGCTGCGGTTTGCCCTGACTTTATTGCACTCGCTCAGTACTTTTTGCTGGTTCGGTTCATGTAAAATGGCCAAAGTGGTACTGGTGTGGATTAATGGCAATGCTTTCTGTCTCCAGAAACTAATACTCAGGTTGGTGTTTGGCTTGAAATAGCTGAACAGCAGTGAGAGACCAGAATGTTGCTCGTCATTTTGGAGCAAATCGTGGATTTCCGATATCTAACATGTTTTGTACTGTGACAACAGACAAATCAGAACTGCTTGTATAATTTTTGTCTATTAACTCTCAATTTTTCTCATCGCTTTCCCATCTCCTTGCCTGCTACCTGATCTATTCCAATAGCCACTGGGTCCCATCCTTATTCGCTACCTCATGGGACAGCCTCAGTATTTTTGGCTGCATTCTGTATCTGAGACTGCCTGTGTCCATAACCATTTTGTGCCCCTCCAAGCCCAATCCATTCCACAAAATCATCTTTGTAACAGAGGAACCGGCACTAAATGCAGTGTTGCAGGCATTGGGGTGACTGCAACATTATTTTATTCTATTCTTTATGTAGCTTTTATATTGCTTTTTAATGTACTCACTGCTGCAGCAGATCACCGATTCTCCCTGAGCTATCTACACTTGCTACCCTAATCTTTTTTCCTGAAATAAAATTACGCCCATGACTGAGACCAAGGAACACAGCTTTTCTTAGCACACTCCCTTGGGATCAGGAATTTCTCTGTCAACGGACACATATATCAATGAGAGATGAAAAGCAGCTTGTGGAATGAGTTTTAAACATGTATCACATATTTCATTGCTGCTGCTTATGTGCTACTCAGAAGGCCTTTTTAGAGTGTTTTCAGCCCATACCTCATGGCTCCTCTGTACTTAATAGGATTTTTTTTTTCTGCACAGGAATTAGGGCGAGAGATTTATTTAAGTTGCCTACACTTCTTTGTGAGCACCTCCTGAATATGACGTTTTTGTCGAGTTTCCTGCTTATTGTCAATGTGAGCACGTCTCAGCTTTTATCAAAGCATGGTAACCCATAACGTGCGAAGCTGTAATGTAATCTCCTCTCGCTGGGACATTTCACTGGGGGAGTGTGGCTCCTTCTGTGGATCTCTTTGTCACAACATGACTCCGTGTTACAACCCTAAATTTTAAATGTCCAGAAGGGAAAGGCAAGTCTGCCTTCAGCCCCTTGATGGTTTCTGGGGACTTGCAGTTCCATTGATGCCTGGGGTCTTCCAGATGTGCATAGCTCTCTTTTCCCTACTTTTTTTTTTTTTTTTGGGGGGGGGTGACAACACCCAAAGCTGCACATCTCTAGATCATTTCAATTCAGCCAGATGTAGGGATCTTTCTTCTTACTTCTTTTTCTTCCCCTCTTTTTTTACTCTTCCTTTTTTTCTTCTTCTTCCCCACTGCCTACACTAAAATGCACTGCTATGCTGCTGAATTTTGTCTTCCTGCGATAGACCTAGTCATGATAATAATAATACATATAATTAAATACAAACACTTTTCTAGCAAAGCTAGGCATGGGCAAACAGAGCGTGACGAAAACAAAGCTGGGGGTTATTGGGCACAGGTTGGTGCAGGAGTGCTATCCTATATAACAAGTGTTCAGTGAGTTATCTGAAGATAGTTAAAATAGCTTCTACACCAGTTTGTTAGTGATTCTTTAGTAAAAAGGGCACTGTATGAACACAGCACAGGATTTTTCTACAAAAATTCAAAGTACAATTCACATTGAGGGTGGATTCATTCCCAGGTAAAGTCAGCCCTGGTGTGTGAGGTCGGAGATAGGCTTGATCATGTTTGCCTTACTTTGAGCCCTCTTGAATTTGCCAAAATGTGATTTGCAACGAGTAGAAGAGAAAAGGGGAGGGGAAGGAGATGCATTTGAAAAAGAGAGTGGAAAATATGACTAGCAAAGGGAAAAGCAAACACATAAAAGTTGTGGAGGAAAAGAAGGTGGAGAAGGAGAAATCCCAAGAAAATACTGACTGTGTGTGTGTAAGTCATTTCTTCAGATTTAGCAGCACCCAGCTCGTACAAGTTGTAATTTAAATAGATTGAAGAGCTAATGCTAAACGCTACCAGGTCAGGTAAAGCTGCCATTTTGGAACTGCTACAAGCCCACCAAAAAATCGTTCCCCGTTTCAAGTGATTGATACTGCCTGAAGAGAGGAGTAGCCACCCATGTCAGCTCTAACATAGAGCAGCACCTTCTCCTTGAGCAGAAAGCTCCTGCCTACCCCATGCTTTTACACCGAGTCATCCTGGAGGAGAAAAATCATACTTCAAAGTACAAAATAATGGGTCAACTAATTAATTTTTTAAAATTGCTAAAGAAGTTTCTCCAAAATTAAATTCCATCCAGTTTCTTCTCAGTCTCCCAACCCGAATCCTTCACTTCTTGTATCTAGAATGATGATTTCTCTGAATCTAGTTTGGGTTTAGCTCTCTAGTAGTGACATTGCTTTGGCTATATGTCGCATAGGCACCATGGGCCCAGTTAGATGATGTGAATGCATGTAATTTGGTACTGTGATGAGAGGTATCATTAAAAGGCATTCTTTTAAGAGTGGTAGTCTGATAGTTCAATCTCAAGATTCAGTGGCCTCATTTATGCTTTTAAAATAAATTCACCAGTGCCAGAACTGGTTCTGTGGCACTAAGACCGATGGGACAGTCCGACCATGTCTGCAAAGCTGAACTCTCGTAGCCTCCAGACAGATGGCTGTGTTCATGCTGCTGAGGGACAACGTGGATTATCTCAAGCCACTGAGTATCACCTGGAAGGGTTCAAGCCCAAACCCTACCAGGGACTCTTCTTGTTGTTAAAAGCATAAAAATATCCTACCCAGTTGTTGCCTGTGCCTGTCCCTTACAGGGATGGAGGCAGTCATGGTTCTAGGTTGCAATCAGGGGGTCTGGACCCCCGTTTCAACTCTGCCGGAGGCTTTTTGTGTGACCTTGGTCAGTAACTTAGGATGAGATTCATTCCATTTAATGTTGACTAATGGTGAGGGTGTCTAATTAAACTAGTCATGTGTGCTCCCTCTGTGATCAGAGAAGGAAGAGAAAGCAAATTCAGAAGGTGAATCATCCCATTTTAAGACTGGTGTCAGAGACAAATGAGATGAATTGCCCTCTGGAAGTAGCTATTTCTTTCCATTAACTGTAGAGGAAGTCTACATTAGAAGAGTTTAGACTAGATGCCTGATTTATGAATGGCTAAAGTTAAGTAAAATTAGTCCTGACCTTAATCTCTACACAAGCCTGTTTCTCCATATGTTGAATGATAGAAATAACACCTCCTGCGCCTCACGTTCAAAGGCGCCATTGGGCGAGGAGCATCCTATAACTTCTTTGGAAAGAAATTAAACCTAGGAGCAAAAATACAATAATTAGATAAGTAAAGCCTTTACTCTTGAAACATCTCAACAACAATATGAGTACCAGTTGGGGCATCCTGTTGCTTTTGGCATTTTCCCCCAAAAATTCCCACATTTTGACAACGGAGCACATGTGAATGACTTTTCCCTATGTGGCCATACAGCACAAGGACATTTAGCCTGGTTTTGGAGAGGGAAGTAGGAGCGCTGAGGAAGGCTAACCATGCAAGGGAGTGTAGGACCCAGTCTTGGCCAGCGGCTTTGAAGGTTTTCCTTGCAATACTGCTCTGCTCAAATGACAGTGACTATTTGCTTTTTGTAAAATCTCCCAGAGGAATGAAAGCTAATGACTAACTGTGACAGAGTTAAAGAAAAAAAAATAAGAGGAGAAGAAAACCTTGCATTTTCTTAGGAAAAATCCACAACATATAAACCAGGCATGGAACACTTGTCCCACTTGATAACTTGTGCTTACATGTGAGGCTTGCTTTTGGGAAAGAAAGTTTGCCCCTTTAACTACCTAGTGTAGTTAAAGCAGCAAAAAAAAGAAAAAAACAAAAACCAAAAAAAGACCTTGTGTGCATGTCCTCGTAAGTGCTTATTTTGATCCAAATTGCAACGTTACACATCTGTGTGGGCACAGCTGTACTCGATAAGGCTTTCACCAGCACAGCCATGCCCAAAGCACAGATCTCCCCACTGATGTGGCTGTGTTATCGGGGGTAGCTGAGATACCTATAAGTCCGTTAAATCTAATACTAGGCCCTTAGAGGCCATTTTGGGGTTTTTTTGGGGGTGTGTTAAATTACTAAATCTTGTTATTAACGCTTTTATTTTATGATTTGCTGTTTCCAGGGCACAGACAGAAGCTTGATGACTCTAAACCTAGTTTGTTCTCTGAACGCCTCAGTGATTTAGGGCGCATTCCTCATCCCAGTATGAGAGTAGGGGTCCCGACCCAGAGCCCACGGCCCTCTCTGAACTCTGCACCAAGTCCTTTTAATCCACAAGGACAGAGTCAGATTACAGGTAAGAGACAGAACCATAGGTTTGACTTGCACAGGCAATGGTAGTAATTGCTTATGGATATTTGTGTCTCAACTGCAGTAAAAGAGGCTGTTACAGAGTGAGAGATGTGTTCCCAGCAAAGCTAGGTGGGAAGTGGATTTTTCTACAGTGTTTAAGCTGAAAATGTCTTTCTTTTTTTAAAATATCTTTTTGCTGTAAGTCCAAAATAGACTAAAATAGTCAATCTGGGTAAATTGTGTAGGAATCTGGTGAAATTCTAACTGCCACGTTGCTCTGCCTTGTCCTCTGTGTGTGCAATAGGACGTATTAGAACGAATATCTTTATTCAGCCTTTTTATTTTGCACTGGTGTTGAGGGAAGCGGCCAGCATATAATGGTCTTCTATCGGCATAATGAGAAAATCTTCTCACGTGGCGGTTTCCCTCTAGCACCAGTGCTGACCACTGCTACAATAAACTAACTGGGTTATGGAGAAATCTCCAACGGTTGCTTGTGAGGGTTGTATGCAACATTTATGATTGCATGCGGAGAGACAGATTTCATGTGTCACAGATTGTAAGACCAAAATAAGACGTTTAACTGCAGTTATGCCAGAAGTTTGCAACAAAACTGTGAAGCCTACAAAATAAACTGATCCTGTCATTTTTCTAAATTCAGAGCCAGTTAATTTTTTCAAAAGAATGTGAAAACAACCTCTACCTAATTTTGGCCATTTCTACACTCAAAACTTATGCTGACATATTTGTTTCTATCCAGGATGTGAAAAGCTGTTGCCCCTGACCAATTCATTGGCTAGAACTGTTCAAGAACTTCACCTAGATGCAAGTCCATCAACAAAACTCTTGGCTCAATTTACTAGACCAGTTTAAAACTCAGTTTTGCTGCTGTAGTTGCATCTATACCAGGAGACCTTTGCCAATCTTATACACCAGTATTCCTTTACCGGTAAAGCACTCCTAGTATAGACATAGTCTTTGAGTCAACCTAGGAAGATTTCTGGTTTCATGTTTCAAGTGGTTTTGACATGATACCAGCTGAAACTTAGCGGTTTTAACAGAGTGTTGTGGCTTTCTTCTTCTTTCTTTTTCTTCTTTTTTAAGTTCAACTGGTTTATTAATTTGCAGTAAGGAAGAGAAGTAAGTGGGTTAATTTGAACCCAAAGCACTCAGAGTATTGAAATGAAGAACTTGTTCCCATGAGCTGCGGCAAAGTTCTCCCAGATCTAGAAGTCTAGTTTTAACTAGCGTAAAATGTTCATAATACGTGAAATATGTCGATAGTACACATTACAAGGTACCTGCTGCCCACCAGCTTCCTAGAGCAGGAATTTGACTGGACTTAGTGTTTTGGTTTTTTTTGTTGGACATGTGAAGTCAGGGCTCTTGTGCATATCATTTTCTGAGTAAGAACTGCCAAACTAAAGCCCAATATTTTTTCTAACCTACCGTCTTCTGTCTGGCAGTGTTTGGGGACATAGTTCCTGAGAAAGCAGCGGATAAAAACGGGGCTATAATCAGCTTTTTTCCTTCTTCCTTGTGCCTCCATAGTTTACCTATTGTGCAACACTATATCTAGGAACGAAGGAGGGTGAAATTCTTCCTGACCCCATCTGGTGATCAGCTTATGCCCTGAAGCACGAGAACTGAGATCCCCTTGTAATTTTCTTCCTAGCTAAGTGTAACCTCATATGCTGCTCTCATTCACATAAATGCCTCCTGTAGAAAATGTTCTGCTGGGTTTGATTAATAGAGTACTTCTTTGCCTCGTTATGAATCAGCAGCAGCATTTACAGATCCGGGAGGTGAAAATTTCAGATGAGCTTTAAATAAGCTTGGCTGGAAACAAAGCTGTGTGGCATTCGCTGTCTTCTCTGCAAATTTAAGAGGCAGCAGCTCAAAAGTACCCAGCTGAGACTTCATTGGGAGAGGGAAGATGCGGTGCTGGTAGGGCAGAGGGAAGTGAGCTGAACTGGGGAAGGCAGGCTGACTTATTGTGGATTATGTGCTTTCCTTGCTGGATAAACTCACGGTCGTGGGATACTGTCGAATCCCAAATTGCTCTCATTTCCCTCAAAGCAGTGAGGACTCAGCTGCTTATTAAAGATTGCAGTGAATGAGTGGTCCAATACAGTATTTGCCATGGTATTCCCCACCCTTGTCTCCTCCTCTATTTAGAAAAGTCAAACACCCTGCCCACAAAGGCTATTCGTTAACTTTCTGGTAGCCTGCCCATTTAATAAGGCAATTAGCCTGAGCATGTTACATCGGTGGGAGCTCTGTGAATTGTGCTGGCTTCCCCACGAGGATTTTTGGTGCTCCTCAGGATGTTGATTGTAATCTGTAAAGCTCTACATGCTTTGATGTTCCACCAAAGTGCTGGGATGCTTCTTGTGGACAGTCCCTCCGAGTTCTTCTGGGATGAATGGATGCTCGTTGCCACACAAAGCCTGCCAAGGAGAGACGAAGTTGGTGCCGCAGACGAGGCACCTCTTTGATCGGGTGTTAGGTGACCATGGGAAATTGCTAAACATCCGCCTGTTTGGTGTGGTAGGAGGGAGTGATCTGTCTGCGTTGTCCATCTCCACCAGTTTCCTTGTTGTGGTGTGATATTCAGTGGGAATTACCCACTGGCTTCTTAACATGGTCACTGGGCTGGTATAGCTTGGGTACGTATTAAAAGGAGACTAGACCCTTGTCTGAAAACAAGGATTTTTTTATTACCTTCATTGGCATTAACCAAGCATTCCTTTAGAAATACCTTTGTTTCTTAATCTTTTACCTAGTAGTTTCGGGAAAACAATTCTTAATAACCTTAACAGTAAATACTGGTTTCCTACAACAAAGTCCATATTATCACCAGCAAGCACATAAACTGTTTTGTTTCGTTCCACTTGAGGTCTTGCATAGCTATTGCATGATTAAACAGAAATAATATTTAAAGACTGGCTGGCCCACACCTGAGTCTGAAAGAACTCAGCACTTTGGGGTTCACTTTTATACGTCTTTGCTCTGTCTAGGTTGCGTTTATTTTCCTTGAGTATCAGAGTACAGGTTTTACAAATCATGGCACAGTCCTAAACCGACCACGAGACCGGGCTGTGGCGGTACAAGGCACAGAGTTGCCCTTATTCAACATGGCATTTTAACTAGGATTCTGCAAAAGCAACATAGAAAGGTCATTAAAAAACAAATCGTCCAATAAGCAGATGCCTTTGCTGAGGCAATGCAGATTCAATTTGAACCCCGCTTGCTGCCCGTAAATCAGGAATCCTGTCTGTTCACATTTGGATACTGGTATATTTGCTTCCCCCCCCCGCCCCTTTCCTTAACGGCACTCGCACAACTTGCTCACGTATCCGATTACATTCCCATTCAGACACTGCGCGGTTGCATCAGCGTTTCAGCATGAAACGAGAAAACCTGTTCTTTTTCTAAAAAGCAACCGGTGAGGCTTAGCTTCTCCAGGCCAGGAAAAGCCGCGGGCGTAATGGCAGGAAATGGCGCGAGGACCCCGGCGGCTGGGCTGCGGGGCCTGCGGAGTGGGAGTTAAGTGAGGTTTCATGCTCCATCACCGCTGTGGCACCGCCTGATCTATAGGCAACCTGTGACTTTCATCACTGCAATAACAGCACTCAAAAGCAGGTCCCGTGAAATCTTTTTTTTTTCCCCTTTTCCTCTTCCCCTCCCCAGGCACTTCAGGGACGTTTCGCTTTCGCTTCTCACTTTGAGGGTTGTAGGAAGCAGATTTAAAGGCTTCGGAGCTGGCTTACCTGGAAGTTAGTGAGGGGACCCATCTCCACTGGCGGGCAGGGACCGGTTTCAGGGACGGCGTAAACTGAGTCTGCTGGGCAGACCATGGGCACAAAGCACCTCTGACTCTCAGGTGGAGGGTGAGGATGGTACCAGCTGGGCCCTCCTTAATTCCCCCACCCAGGACTTGCAGGCAGCGGGCTGGACGCTGCCGTTTCGCAGAGTCGGGGGAAGGCAGAGAGCCGTGCTCGTCACGGCGTTGTCCTGCGCTCTGGATACGAAGCTGTGCGGCATCAGCCTCAGAGACCAGCGTCTCTTCTCCGAGACCGTCAGCTGCAGGACAGGTTCGAAACAGAAACCGCGTGGCTGTTACCGGGCCGGCTCTGTGCAAGTGCCCTGCCAGGGCTTGGCTGTGTTTCACCTGGGACCAGCAGCACGCTGAAGCACGCACCAGTTTGTAGCTGGCACGCATCGATCTGACAGCGCGGCGCGTAAAATTCCTGCTTGCCTGGAAAAGATCGTTTAGAAACAGCCCAAGTAATAGGCTTATAGGGCGAATTATGCCTTCAGCCTACTGCAACGTGGAACGGAAGCTAAAAGACTCAGTGGATGAGGTGGTGGAGCTGGGATTTCTGCTGCCATGAACACAAGGGTGGCTGCAGTCTGCTGTATTTTAGACAAATTGATTGCATCCTTCAGGCGACTGGCGAGTTGCCACTGTGAACCTCCGTTTGGTAAAGCTTGTGTCCCTCCTATTAAAGTATTCTTTCAACTCCCCCCGCTCCGCCTCCTCACAATTTAGTTGCCCTACTGGCATGACTTGTTCAGTTTATTTTTTTTTTCTTTTAGAAATGTGACCCTTGGGGGTGGAGGGAGGAGAAATGGTTTTAGAGGTTCTTCAGGCCAAAATCTGGTCTCGATTACTCTTATGTCCACTGGGGTGTAGCTCCATTGGATTTGACTTCATTGATTGAACTGTGCAATCCAGATCAAGCCCTGGGCTTTTAAAGATGCCTAAGAAATAGTCAAAGAAGAGGAGGAGGTTGCATTTTTGTTGTTGTTGTTTTGCTGGGGGCGGGGGTGTCGTTACAACAATAGTTGGGTTACTCATGCGGAAAGTCATCTTGGCTTCGTTAAGATCAGAAGTGAGGACATTTGCTTTAAGTGTTTACCAAAGATAGCTCCAGACAGCTTGGTTTTTAGTATTGGCAGTAGCACTAATGCAATCAGCAGCAGCCAGTGCTGGAGCTGATGGCTGGATTTAAATGGGAGTGGTTTTGCAAAGTGCGTGAATGCATGTGACGTCGCTGGGGTGTTATAGATGGTACACCAAGAGGCTGCGAGCCTGTGATCATGTAGCTCAGCTTGGGAAATGGGAAATTGATTTTTTTTTTCTATAGTAATTCTGTGTGCTTCATAATCCAGTACCAAAGCAGTGGAAAAACTCGTTTGTCAGGGCTATTTACAGGTTTTTCTTCTCTCCCCTGACACTTCAGAACATTTCCATTGAAGGAAGAGAAGTCACATTGCTGGAGAGGCAATGTCATTGGTGGAAGAATGGGTCACTGAGGGTTTTTTTCATTCTCTGATTTTTTTTAGTGTTATGCAGTGTGTCCAATCTCAGACTGATTTTTAAAACCCCTTATTGTCCATTAAGCATCAACGTCCATTGTCCATTGATACAGTCAATCCCAGGCCACAAGGGTCAGGAACCGTGTATATCTCCCACTGACTGTAAATGCGGCAGTAAAACCTAGACACAAAATAATTTGCAATACTCAGTATTTCCTGCTTCAGTGAGGCTTACCTGGCAGTGCAAACAGGACGAAGCTGTTTGTGCATTAGTTTAGACCTTGCCCTGCTGACTTGTTCCAGCCCAGCTGTGCCCAGGGTTTCTTAGCATACGGACGATATGCCCGTTGTGAACGAATTTGATGAAAGCCATGCTTTTCTTCGCACCTACGCAGGTGTAACAAAAATGTTTGCAAAAGGAGGACTGCTCTTAGTAATCGCTCCAAAATTTTCAAGGGCAAAAGTGCAAATGCCCACTCAAAAGTGACCCTCTGTCTCCTTTGCTGTCGTTGAACTAGCCCTTCCCTATGGTTGCCATATGGGAAGGAGGGCCACTTTCTCCCAAGCTGTTCACTGTATTTTTGTTTTCGTGTTTCCCTTGTTTTCGAGGGATTCCTTTTTTTTAGGGAGAAACCCACGTTTGCTCTGCCTCAGAGCTCTGAGGTTTTGTTCTGGGCTTTTCGCGACTGCGATGTGCTGTGCCTGCCAGAGCCGGTGATGGTGCAAAGGCCCTGGCCTGCAGGGACCCCGCAGACACTGTGAGCCCTCCAGCCAGGGGGAATGGGGAACCTGATACTTGGTGTAGCAGACCAAATAAAACCTCTGACAAATCCACTCGTAGCTTCATCCCTGCTAGTATGGGCTAAATAGCCACTCCACCCCTTCCATGCCCAAACGAGGGGGAGGTGACCCTCCTAAGGACATCGTTCTGTTTCCCCTACAAGCATCCACTTGATGGCCCCAGAAGCACTGGTAGGCAGCTCCCTGTGACACCCCTGGCACCCTCCTTCCCCCCAGGAGGTTTGGCTGGGTGGTGCGTGGGACCAGAAGAGAAGGCTGGTTGGTCCTCAGTGTCCAAAGTCTCTGCTCCAGTGGCATTGCAAGGAACATCTGCTGTCAGGACCAAAGGGTGCCGTGTGAGATCCAGCTGCACGTCCACCTTCAAGGACTAGACAGGGCAGCATTTTACTCTGGGGATTGGGCAACACCACTGAGCAGTGACGTGTACCCTGTGAGCTGGCAGATCACCTTTGGCTTGGCAAAGTGAGGGCATTTTGCTGCTCTCTCTTCCCATGTCCATGCAAACCTTGGCTGCTATCAGTGACCTGGGGCTGGGTTTAGGGCCTTTACTCTAGGATCTAGTGAAACTCATATCTTCACTTTCCTGTTTCCTAAGGGCCTACATATAATGCTTGAAGCCAGTCAGCCCCAGGGCAAAATTTCCCATCCTGCCTCAACCATGACTTCAGCCATGCCTTGGTGTGGAGGAATCTCAGCGATCCTCCAGCCTGGGGCACTGTGTCCTTCTCCTCAGTTGCTGAGCTCTGAGGCATCATCTGATGTTCAAATTGGTTGAGGATTTTCCTCTTTATTATTTCCTATTCCCTGGGAAGACATGATCTCATTTTCTTAGTGCCAAGTCGCTTGCACTCTAGTTTCAGAGGGGCTCCAGTTTGCACCTGAATATCTATGTTGAAAGTTTCCAGCTGAGATAAACACCCCATTTTGTGAGCGAGGTAGTCAGAGAGTGCCTGCACCTTACAGAAATGACCAACTAAATATGCAATATATCATTACTGTCGTTAGATTTGTGTAGAAATTGCATCAAATGGAAGTTGGGTGAGTTACCGAAGTCCAACAGGAGATCTGCTTCCGGGCCAAAAGCACAGTGTCTTCACTAAAAGTCCATCCCCTTTTTTCTCTTTCTCTAAAATACTTCGCAGTTTAAGATCTCACAGTATTGGACTCATGGAGAGCTGAAACCAAATAGATATATAAAAAAGAAATGTGGTATTGTGGCTCTGAGGTTGGGATGAGCTGTAGAAGCCATGTATCAATTTAAGCTAGATGTAAGAATATATGATATGCTTTTGGGACAACTGGTGGTCCATCCAGCCCCATATTCTGCCTCTGACAGTGCAGTATGAGATGTTGCTTTGAAAGGCCACATAAGCTTTTGAAAGGCCACTTTTTGCCGTTCCTCCTTCTTGTGTCAATACAGACATTCACAGTTGTTTGATTAAGGACATGAGGTGTAAAACCAAGTCTAGCATGGGTGTTCAAAGAGGTTAGGGTGCCAGAGATGCTCAAGATCTTTTCATGCCATGAGGATTGCACTACCAGAAGTGGCATGAACCTCCAGAAGGCAGGTTCTTTCCTGAGGTTTTCACCATTTTAGACCAGAACTCTGTGAAAACATCTTCTGCCATGATTTTTTTTCCTAGCCTTGACCTGCTATATAATTTCCTTCCAGTGTTGGATCTGACCTAAACCCAAATCTTTAAGGGACTCTGTTTTGGATTCGGAAGCAGAGATTGAAAAGCTCTTGAGTTTGAAGGAGCTTGGATTTGAGATTGTGCTCTTGACACATCATTAATTTTAAGATCGTTTTCCCAGCAAGCCTAGGCTTTCCGTTCCCAGTTGAAGATCATTTACCATTGACTGAATGGTGAATTATAGTAGTGGAATGAGGCAGAGAAATATGTCGATATCAGATATAACAACGAGCAGTCAGTCGGATTTGAACCTGCGCCAATCTATACAACCCTAGCCTTGAAATTGTTAAAACAAAGAAGTTCATTACATTTAATGATCAAGTGTCCTTTGGATTTCTGAGGAGTTTATGTTAACCATTTATATCACTCAGCTCTAATATAAATGGCAAACTGGGAAAATCCTCTTAAAATTAAATTGGAAAGATGGGTTTTTTTTGCTATATCTGTATAGTTATTTTGCTTCAAGGAAGTATCTGCTTTCCAGACATCTCTTCAAACAAATCATGTCTGAACAGAAAAAATAAACATGGAATAGCTGAAACTACAAGGTTTTGCTGTGTGGAAGAGCAAGGAAAGGAGTTACAAAAAGAAAAAAAAGTTGAATTTCCTGAAAAAGTGCCTTTGCTTATGCCATGTGGCTATCACGTTGCTGTCTACAAAGTAGGGCCTTAACACAGCTGCAGGTTCTCCAAATTGAGTGGACCTGATGCGCTTCACTGAAAAGACTGGGGAGGATTTGGAGGGATGTGCTACAATTTCTACGAGCCAGTTCAGAGGCAGTTTTCTGTTTATTGTGCAGTGCCCAAAACAAACTTTGGGGTTGAAAGTGCTTTGTTTTTATCAACGTAAAGAAATAAAAATAATTATAATTTATGAGGCATTCAGTGGTATCTTTATCACCAGATATTGACTGAGAGCAAATGGTTTATAAATCCAAGCACCGGTGATTAAAACTAGTTCTTCCTCTCTCTCACTCAGTGCAGTCCACCAGTGCTTCAGCAAAAAATAAATTGTATTTATCCTTAAAATCCTTTCCTTCATAGTGAGCTGTAGCAAGTACATTAAAAGGCGTCATTAGCTTCCGATAGTTATCCCAAATAATTTGGTATCATATTGTTGCAATTGAGGTGACTGTAGATAATTGGGCTAGCATCCAGCTGTGACATTTTTGGAGAGATGCTGGTAAGATGAATGACATTTTCTTTTCTGGATAGCATTTTCAGCACTGAAAACACTACTGTGTAATGTTTGAACTGGGTAACAACTTAACAGGCATGCCAAGGGCTGACTGTAGGGTCTCCCCACCTCTGAAGTCCACTTCCTCAGCTCAGACCTGGGTCTCATTCTCACTCTCTCTGCTTACCTGTCCAGATCCTCGAGGGCTGGCGAGTCCTGGTATAACACGCTGTTAGACCGGGATGAGAGATGTCAGGGATTTGCAGCACAGCTGCTAGATCTGTTAAAACTTTGCTTGCTGCTCCGTTCATTTCCCCCAAAATTGTTATGGGGAGGGAAAAGCACAGAGTGAAGCTTGAAGGGATTGAGTCCTAGAGGAGCAGGTCACGTTTCATTGCATTCTCATTCCTTGTAGCACTGATGTGTGTATTTTCAGTAATCCCACCTCTTTCAATTAGGCTGCTCATGCTCTAAAATTTTTCTTCCTTTTTAAAAAATTTACTCTTTTTTTTCCCCCCCTCTAGACCCCAGGCAGGCGCAGTCATCTCCACCATGGTCCTATGACCAGTCTTACCCATCGTACTTGAGCCAGATGACTTCACCGTCCATTCACTCCACGACTCCCCTGTCCTCCACTCGAGGCACAGGACTTCCAGCCATCACCGATGTGCCCAGACGCCTCTCAGGTAAAGACCATGTTTTGCCTAAAACGATTATGCAGATAGGAACAGGACTGGCAGAGGCTGCCTCCGTGGCCTCAGACAAACCTTAGTAAGAAGAGCAAAGCTCAGTCGGTGATAACAGGGTTACTGCACAGCGGGCGGGGGTCAAAGTCCCTTTTTTTTGGAAGTGGAAGAGCTGCTGTGTTGCTCTGAGCATGCATCATTTGAATGTCTCTAGGTCCATTTCAGATCAGACTATTTTTTAATTGTGAACCTGACTCTAGGAACAAATTCTCTTTTTTTTTTTTTCCCTACCAGAGTATGTTTACTTGCATATTTTAAGGTAATTGTGATATTCTCTATTTTTTGGTGCTTTACTTTTGTGGCGTGTGTGATGTTAGGCATCCTGATAGATAGATGCCTTTATTTCTTCAATATTAAGACTGAGGTTCATTCTCCTGCATTTCAATCCAGTAGCTTAAGAAGGCCTATTTCCTTAGCTAATGTGTACTTAAGATGCCTATCAGAAACTAGCTGAGTCACTTTAGGGTAAAGATTGGACAAATTGTGCTTTAGAATGATGCAGGAGAGAGGAAATACGTTTAGGAACATAGACAAGACAGCAGTGAGGAACTGAGACTTATTTTTTTATCAAACAAATGTACATTTACATACTGTGCAATTCATCTCTAATGGTCTCAGTGATAAAACCATCTGCGTGAAGTAATCTGATTGCCCCAAAGTAAGATAGAGCCTGTCATGGCACACAGTCACCTTGTATATCTTGCCAAAAATGAGGAACCTTAGGGGAGGGAGGCTCAGTATTAAAACTCCAACCTTGCAAGTGTGGAAATATTAGCAGTGTATGCCAAAAAAGCATGTGTAATGTAAAGAAAGCCTTTATGATTCATTAATGAAAACCAAAGAATCAGTCTTATTACATCTATTTTTTGCATGTTTGCAAGATATTATTATAATCTTGGATGCTGCTTCCATACACCTGTTTGACTCGCAGCCAGGTGAATTTCTTGCTGTCGTGTTTTCCCTTTCCACCAAGCTCATAGCGCTAGAAATGTTGATCCCTCCACTGAGCTGCATCACTGGCAAGCTGAACTTCAGCCAGCAGGCGTGTAGGATTTGATTAGCGTAGACTCCTTGATTTCTTTCATCTTGGAGGAGGGAAGCTTTGTTCCTCAAACAAACAGCTGCACAAAACTCTGCGGTCCTAGCGTCCCAGCGCGCTCTGCCTTCTCAGAGATGCCAAACATCTCCATGTGGGCCGAGGGTTGGAGGGTAGTGGAGCAGGTTCCTGCGGGCTCTCCGTGCAATGCGCTGACTTCGTTCAAAAAACTTGACAGGCTTGCTGCTGAGGAAATGCTTTGTTTGGCCCGAAACAGGTTCCCTTTGAGTCGGAGCCTCCTGATGGTCTGTGCTGTCGAATGGGTTATTTTTGCAACTGTGCCCCCAGCAATACCTCCAGGAGAGGCTGGGCTGGGACTGCGGCAGCTGTAGTGCTGCGTACTTGCCCTGCAGCCCTTGCTTGTCTGCGTGTATTCAGACGTGAGTGCCTGGCATGTGGGCACAGGCAGAATGACTAAAAGACCTGGCTGTGTACGTTCTGTGGCCGCCGACTGAACTTTTCTGCCGTAGTCTACAGTCGGTTGCCTTCATGCTTCTTGTCCTTCATCTTTTGGGGGCTCGACCGACGCCTCCACAATGCTCTTACCTTTTCCCAGCATGGGGATCTTGCTTCCAGTTAGATTCAAGATTGAAAAAGGGGACTTTGATCTTCCACAAGTGCCAGAGGTTGTCTGCAGTGTTTGCTGACGTTCAGAAATACAGAGCGGTGTTCCTGGGTGGAGGACGAGCCCTGATGCTCGAGCTGTAAGGAGGCACGTTGCAGCCCAGCTGCAAACCCTGCGGTTCCTCTCGAGAGTTTCTGCTTAGCAATGCCACAGGGAGGGAGGGCAGGATCCCATCTTTTGTGTGCAAAGTAGAGAGAGAGAAATGCAAGTTTACAGCTGCCCCTTGCAGCAACCAATTGATCCCTCGCACGTGGAGAAATCTGAATCTCCACTTGGTTACGTGATACATCTTTCAGAGGAGAATGGAGTTTTGATGGGGGAAAAAAATGATGGCTAAGAAACACTAAAAATGTTAGAAAACTTCAGGCACCCTCAGTGCATCAGGGAGAAATTAGAGTTTTACAAGGCCTTGAATAAAAACAAACTTTGCTTTCCGATACAGTGGCAGAAATCCGATTATCAAGGCTGTTAAAAGTATACAAGGTAATTTTAATGAATGCCATATTTACTGCCTGTTGCTTAACATCATGCAGGAGGAAAAATGGGTAAAACTTCCCCCTTAGGCCTTGGATGTCACACCTACAGGCACAGGACTTCCTACCTGCCACAATTTCACATCACCCAGACTTTCCACAGGCCTCCATGGCTCTGCCTAGACCACTGCTTAAGTTGTGCTCATCCAGACACTGAAAATATACCATTGAATAAAGCAATGTGTCCTTCAAAAGAGTGGTTCCTGGTTGCACTGTCAGTGGCAGCCCTCCAGAGCTATTTTTTATGGTATTCCCATGACCAGAAACACATCCACGGCCAAAACAATGGTCATAGAATCACAGAATCATTAAGGTTGTAAAAGACCTTTAAGGTCAAGTCCAACCACCAACCCAACACCATCATGCCCTCTAAACCATGTCCTGAAGCACCACGTTCCACACGTTTTTTGAACACTTCTAGTGATGGCGACTGCAGCACCTCTCTGGGCAGCCTGTTCCAGTGCTTGACCACTCTCTCAGTAATGATGTCGTGGTGTTCCCGTCTTGGGATGGGTACATCTCTTGGTGATGAGCACATTTGTGTTTCCATCACAGATTAGGCTGATCATCAGAAGAGGTTTGGGGCTGTAGGACAGGAGGTGACGGGTGACTGCCACAGCGGTTCGTGCAGTTCTCCATCCCATGGGAGAGGGGAAAAGGGCAGCAGGCTGCAGCCCTGAGGAGTTATTCGGGCAGGCTGGTGTAATGTGGCTGAACTGGTCGTGTCAGTGTCTAGACTGATTTCTTTGCACAACTGCAGTGGTTGCATGCACGCTACAGGCACGTGCAAATGAGTGCCCACGGCTGTCAAACTTCAAGTATTCACTTTTTATTTTCCAAATGGGGGCAGGTGCTCTATTTGCAGCGTCATGCAGCTAATTAATCATGTGTCACATTGTCCTGGTTTGGGCAGTATTCAACAGCAATAGCTGAAAAGCAAAGCAAAAAAAGATCTGGCATCACTCATGCAACTTTTGAACGAATGATCTCTCTGGTGCATAAGTCTCATGTTCATATCAAGAATAAATAAAAAATAAGCTCATGCAATTAACTTACCTTATTGCACCAAGTCAGGCATAAAAAGAGCAGGATTCCCTGTATTTTATTAAAATATCTGTCTGCTCAGACTTCCCCAGAAGACAGTGAAAGTTGGTGGCCCAGCAGATTAATATTCTTAATTAAATAATATTGTAGTGGAAACCATGGGAATATATGAACATGGTCATTTTAGAGAGAGTTTTGCCTGAGGGACGTAGTGTTATTGCATGATTCATAGCGAATGCACTCAGTCTTTGAGTCCTATGCATAACCAAAGTGCGTGTGGGATGGGGAGCAGCATGAGTGTCTATTATGTAATTAATGTATATGATTCATATAAATACACATCACAGCCGTTTTACATAAAGCTTTGGGACTGATCGAGCAAGTCCTCAGCACATGCAAGGGTCAGAGCAGGGAGTACAGGTTGGGTTGCTCCTGCACTCACAGGAGGGCTGCTCCGGTGAGGGAGGTGTGGGTATAGGTGTCCCCAGGGCAGACATCCATACGTGAGACAGTCACCCTCAGCTCTCTTTTGAGTCGGTGGGGACAACCTGGCGTTTGCAGGACTTGACCAGTCTGCAGATGAGCTGTGCTGGTCCCTGGCAGTGCCTTGGGAGAGCCTGTTTCTCTCCATGGGCTCTAAGGCGAGCCTAGGTGAGTGGTTCAGGTACAGGCATGTCTGATCTGGTAGTCTGCCTTTGGTGAGGTGATTTAAGAGACCATTTAACTGTCCCATAAACATATCCATATCACAGCCTTTGTTACACTTCAGTCCTGGTTTAACCCAGCCAGGGTCTGCCTCACCCTGACCTCCACCTGCTCTGTGCAGGGTTTGAGCTTCAATTTTATTTTGTTGAGAAGACTCCTGAGAAGGGAGGTGGGGAGACAACTTCTCCTCCTGCACTGTTCCTGGACTTTCTCAGCCCTTCTGCCTAACTGCTACAGTCTCTTGCTTTTTGCTTCGCCTTTGAGAGACACGTAGGGTCAAGCTCTTAAGCTGCTGGAGGAGCTGCCCTGCAGGCATAACGTGAACACGTTCAGTGCTGGCTGTGGAAGAGCCTGTCCTACACAACTGTGTTTGACAAATGCCCACATGACAAAGGAGAAAATTAAAACTGAAGCTACCTAGCAGGACAAATCACCAAACCTACTTTTTCCAGCACCGGGCTCGCACTCTTTGCAGATAGTTGTCAGCTGGGGATGCTGGCCTCATGCCACCATGCCCAAACTCTCCCGTCCCATGCGCTGGAGGCCCCACAGCCTGCAGGGTGGATTTTGCTGTCTTTATATTTACTGTGTTGTTAAATGGAGATGCGCTGAGATAGATGAGGGACACGCTGACGTAGATGAGGGACACGCTGGACTCAGCCTCTAAACAAAAGAAGTTTGCAGACCCATCCCTCTGAACTAAACTGGCCAGGAGGGAGTATCTTTACCAGTAACCTAGACAGAGGCAGGGCCTGGGCTGTTAAACACCAGCACTGGTAAACAGTCAGCGAGGTTGGTTTTGAGCGGGGTTGGCCAGCACGCTCCCGAGCAGGGCCCAGCCGTGGTTTGGAAATGAGTCGAGTCCCGAATCCATTCCCGTGGGCAGCTCAGCGGCAGCCACCCTGTTGCGGAGGCTAAAAGGATTTAATAGTGCAGC